AAATAAACAAATAAACAAATAAAATGAACAACATAAGTAAATAAATAAATACATAAATAAAATACATAAAAAATTAAACAAAAATAAATAAAACAAATAAATACATATATAAATAATAAATTAAGTAATATAAAAAATAAAATAAAAAATCAAAATAAAAATAAATAACTAATNTGATTATCATTCAACTGGAAATGACAAAAAAGTCAACCTGATTATCATCCTGGTGTTTCGACTTTGAACTTGCTGCATGCATCTTTAAAAAAGGAATTAATTTTAAAAAATAATTTAAAAAATGATCTGTCCTTTGCCTCAATGCATCCTTTTTGACTACATGATGTTAGAAAAATATTCTAGCAATCATACTGCATTCTGCATTCAACTTATTTGTGGCACACTTCAAAAGAAACACTATAACATAGATTTTTGAGTAGAATCTACAAGATATGATATTCATAGATACAAAATGCACAGCAACCATACAAAGTATTGCTACAGTAACTGACAACTGCAGGGTTCTCCCTCAGTTATGTGTGCTACACACATAACAGTATGACTATCTCAACTCTAAAATCAAAAAGAAGAAAAAATCTTTCATCAAATGCATAATACACCTATGATCCAAAAGAAATTAAATAAAAAATAAGGCTCTTAAAATGGATGACCAGAAGGGCTTCTGAAGTGTGACTAACAAATAATCACAAATTCTTACCTTCAACCTTAACAAATCTACACCAGAACATACTTCCTTAGGAGAAGCCTCTTGTATTTAAGACACTGAGGTCCAAGAGACCTGCAGCGTACATCACAACTCATAAGTGAAATGAACTAAAACATCCACGAGCATCATTCACAGTTCATTCTACTCTGAGGAGAACCCTGCCCTCGAACATGAGATAAACCACTCACCATCTATGAAAGATACAACTGAAAGGAAGGCAACACAAACATCAATCTTTACATGTAAAAAAGTTAGTTTAGCACACAAATATTACAGTTAATGCATTTTTCATCCTGGGAGCAAAAATGAATTGCAATGGTTTTAAAAGGGTATTGTTACACTCAACACTTTACCTATACCATAGGAGCTAAATGGCACTGGAAATATTATTCCTCCCAAGTCCTTACACTAATAATCATACTTAGACATAATATCTGGAAAACAGAATCTCTAGTGAATTACATAATTGGTTTTACTGTGGAATAAAGACTCTTTTATACTCCTCTCACATAAAATTAACACTAATCATGCCTTTGATAATTTTGATACTGATATAATTTTGATATCCCAAGGAGTAGTATAAAAAAAAGGGAATTACTTTTCCTGAATAAGAATGTTACAAAATCTTTCAATATCATTTCCATATTTCTGACAAGTCTCCATTAATCTATAATACTTCTTCTCATCAATCAAGAAGACACACAGAGACAAATCACCATACCATTCCTTTTCAAATCACAAATAAACCTTTGCCTGGTGTCATTGTTCACTTTTTAAGAAATCGATGCTTATCATATTGTTACCGATATCACAGCGAAATGACAGACAACTTGCAAAGATGGACGCAGTTTACCAAAGACTTTCAAAGTTTAAAAAAAAAAAAAAAAAAAAAAAAAAAACAGACAATGCTGGATGATGATGATAGTAATCATAATATTAATAGTAATAATAACAACAATAACAATAATGATAATAATAATAATAAGAATGATGATAATTAATAATAATAACAATAATAATAATAATAATAATAATAATAATAATAATAATAATAACAATAATAACAATAACAATAACAATATCAATAACAATAACAATAATAATAATTATAATAATGATGACAAGGGCGGTCTGGCATCCTAATAGCAGGGTGGCTGGCAAACCAAAAGGGCCAGGTTCAGAAAAACAATTCATGGGTATTCTCTAATAAAAAAAAATTGTAAATAGTGATCATTGTGGGGCCCTGGTTATAACCATGGGTTATGACTGTAATACTTCAGTTTATGTAAACTGTCTTCTCCAGCCTTCTCGGAAAGGGCCCGTAATTTTTCTTTACCTTACATATCAGGGTGCCCCCCGGGTGGCGATCGACACTTTGCCACCCGGGCCAGACCGCGCCTGAATAATGATAATAATGATAATAATGATAATAATATAATAATAATAATAATAATTATAATAATAATAATCAACAATTACTATAAAACCGCTATAAAATTTCAAATGATGAAAATATAGATTTCTTAACTCGTCTCAGGTATCCATTTCTATTTCGGCCAATTTTAGCATTTCATGGAACTTGAGAAAAGTTTAGCTTGCCATTCCCCCACTTCGCGTGCAACATGAGGATATCCAATCTAGTGCATGTTTAAAAGTGCTGTTCAAATGGCTAACCTAATTTCTTAACAAAATCAATCAAATTTTGGAGAACATGCAACTTTATATAGCCGAAAAGAAAGAAAAAAAAGAAAAAGTTGATTAAACAAACTGAATAAACCATACCTCAAAATTCTAGTTAAAAGATCTAGAAATTAGTATCAAAATAACAAAATCAATAATGCTGCATTATCATGAGAAAATACTTATTGCACAACACCAATAAAGTGATTTTAGGATAAACTTTAAAAAAAAGGAAAACCCATGCATTGTCTGAGGCAGTCAGAATCTAAACACATCAATAGTTAACTTTATGAAAACAATGATCTTGACATTTCATAATCATTTCAGAAAAATAGGCCTTACTAATCTGATGAGCACATCATGTAAAAGTGACTTCTGATGAGAGAGAGAGAGAGAGAGAGAGAGAGAGAGAGAGAGAGAGAGAGAGAGAGAGAGAGAGAGAGAGAGAGAGAGAGAGAGAGAGAGAGAGAGAGAGAGAGAGAGAGAGAGAGAGAGAGAGAGAGAGAGAGAGAGAGAGAGAGAGAGAGAGGAGAGAGAGAGAGAGAGAGAAGAGAGAGAGAGAGAGAGAGAGAGAGAGAGAGAGAGAGAGAGAAATCACAGCACTTCTAATTTATGATCCTAATTTGAAGAAAATTTCCATCTGCAGGACACAATCAAATTCTTTTACTTCACTTAGAAGTAAATATATAAAACACTGATGAAAACAAAACAAAACAAAAAGATAAAAGGAAAATAAAAAGGTTCAAGAAAATATCTGATCCTCTGACACTGATGCTAGCAAATAAAAGACAATAGTGTGATCCTAACAGGAAAGTTGTAAAACTCTCTATGAATTATGTTTCCTTCTGAGAAGACTCTGAATCCCCGACACCCTTTGGATTCTTATATTATCCTCACATTCATTTCTTCCGTATCTTTTTGTCAACTGGTTATCAACCCTTTTCATTTTATTTCCTATTTTTCCTAGAATTTGATGATTTCAATAATGTTTATTCAAAAAGCCCATATAAAAATCAATCTGATGGACACCCATCCATCCATACATTCAAGAATATGTCCCTGAGAACCAATATGTTGTGAATATATCTAATTGCTTATCTTAATTCAGGATACATCTACATGCATTTACATTTTCATTTACTTATGGATGAAGAAAATATAAAATCAATAAAAATATAGATCCTCAAGTAACCCCCCAGTATATACAATTGTGTGGTGAAAGGCAAAACACTGGATGACACTTTTCATCAAAACAGAAAAAAAAAATCTGGAGTTCATAATCACATATAGGAAGGTATACAGTCAGAGTTGTTAAAAAGTCAAGGAGATGAGTACTCCATCCATTGTGATATTTGTTTTAATCTGGCCATTCAAGTGGCCTGGTCTGATGTTTATCAATGCAACAGTATGAACAACATGGAAAGCTGGTGTGGTTCCATGATAAATATTATCCATCGTTGCACTATGGCATATATGTAACACTATTCATGGTTCATCTTGAAATCTTTAGTTTACTGTAATGGACATGGAGTACAATATGTAATGCTCCGAAACCAAATACTCAAGTTGTCGGCATTAGCAATGTACTAGACTCTGGCCTGATGTCCTATCATGTTATGCATAGTCAAGCCTGTTCTATGTCATGTGTGCTCTAAACTGTTGTTCACCTTTTTTTTACCCTGGCTGCAGTCGTTGAGGAGGAACAGCCCTTCAAAAGAAAGCTTAACATCTCTTTTTTGCTTATTACCTAATCAATCATTTACGCATACCAACCGCATGAAGAGCAGAGTTATTTCATGATTCCTATGCTTCCAATTTTTCCACAAGCATCTCCTGTCATGCTTGGGTCACCTGTGGAAGTTTGCTGAGAAATGACCTAAAATTCAATTCATAAATAAAGATAATTATATTTTTTGTCCTCTCATTACCACCCTGTTTAATAATGGAAAAATAAAGGCACTAAGGAACAACCTCATCATCCTTATTTTCATCTTTCAAGAGAGTGTAAATAATCATTAAATGAAGAAAGAAAGAAAGGAAAAAAATCAACCAATCCAATTCATATTTGATGGCATTATAATCCCTAATATAGCTGCTAACATTCACTGCCCTCCTCCCAATACATAATGCTTGAAGTACTATTCTGTGCCATGCTTGGTACATGTATAATCATCACTCATGACAACCTGATTTTGTCTTGGTTCATGTGTGTAGATGTTGCCTTCTTTATTTCCCTACGAAGATTAATTTTTAATAAGTGTGCAATTAGTTTCTCACATGAAAATCAGCGAGTTTATTCCTAGAAGAAAATCTGATGATGTACAATTAGGTGAAGTTTGACTAATTTGACAACTTCATGACAGATTCAGATATGGGCTTCACATTTATATTCAGGAATAATCTAAATTCTTTAACTTCATTTTTCAACTAGGTTTAGTTTGTATTCACATTTTGTGAGTATTGAAGATGAGTCAAAAACATATCAGACAGTGAAACACACCATGATCAGTGCCCACCAAAAAAATCACAAACTTCGTAACAATGGCCAATATTCCTAATTACCCAATGCAATCTCCAAATTCTGAATGCCTCCATGACGGATAAATGAGCACTCTTACTTACCTTTATCAACATTGACACCCATAGACCCAAGGAAGCGGACTGTGAAGAACTTATCAGTTTCTTGTTTTACGACTTTGCCCTCCGCACCATCATCTGTGACATCTTGTTCGCTTGAGTGGATTAATAAAAAGATCGTTTTGAAATTCTTTGCCAAAAAATACATAGGAAATATGGAAAATAAAGAGAATGCTAAGACTCTAATTCAATACCTGAACATAGCTGACAATCTATCACTAAATCTTTTGTTGCTTAGGATGATTTGTATGAACATGCCATGTCTACAGTGAACTCAGCTCTTTAGTTGTGGTTCCTCATAGATGGCTCCACAAGTGCTTAGTCACTAAAGAGTCCTACCTATCACACCTGTTTAGTGTTTTCTTTGATTTTCAAAAATTCTCTTTTATTCTATATTGCTGCATTTATTGCACATGACATCAATGTCAATAATAATAATAATAATAATAATAATAATTATAATAATAATAATAATAATAATAATAATAATAATAATAATAATAATAATAATAATAATAATAGAATTGATATTAATAGCATTAGGACTTTTTATTTCAGGAAAACATCTTCCTATTACTCAAGGACGAGGGAAATCAGGTGAGGTCATGTACACCTATAAACTGACTAATTCGTAACTAAGCTTTTGGGGAACCATCTATCTATATACATTTCACAAAATAAAACTACAATGGACATTACATGTTCCCAACAGCAAAAGGTTAATATAATACATACACTAATAAGTATAGTTCACTGCCTCTGCTAGGAAACTCACTCTAAAACTACCCTTAGTATTGGTCTAAAATAAAATGGTGCCACCATGAGCAACAAAAATACATTATCATCATTTGCTCTTGCACTACTGATGATACCATCCCTATTCTTTTGAGCAAGAGTACTGCCAATAGTTTTTGGAGTGATTCCTATACGTATGTAATTCTAACATTTCTGTGACAATTTTCGAGTAATGATGATGATATTTTCTTATTCTACGAATATATCAAAATCATTATTTCACAGCAGCATCTGCAAAGACCATACCTGTCATTCTGACTATCGAGATTAAGCGTAAATGTTTCCTCAGGTGAAGTGAGAAGATCGAACACAATAGGAGCGTCGGGTGGGATTGCTGCAGCTTGTGGCATTGCAGCAGAAGCTGCAGTGCTTGATGGAGGTGATGCACTTGCTGTTGTGGGTGTAGAAGGAGCTGAGCCCATTGCAGCTGATGCGGCATGGAACTTATCAGCCTGAAATGCAAATTTTCAACAAAAGAATAAGAAAGTGAGAGAGAAAAAAAGAGAGACTTTTTAACTTATTAGGACAAATGATAGATAGATAGATAGATAGATAGATAGATAGATAGATAGATAGAGAGAGAAGAGAGAGAGAGAGGAGAGAGAGAGAGAGAGAGAGAGAGAGAGAGAGAGAGAGAGAGAGAGAGAGAGAGAGAGAGAGAGAGAGAGAGAGAGAGAGAGAGAGAGAGAGAGAGAGAGAGAGAGAGAGAGAGAGAGAGAGAGAGAGAGACAGAGACAGAGAGAGACAGAGACAGAGACAGAGACAGAGACAGAGACAGAGAGACAGAGACAGAGAGAGAGACAGAGACAGAGACAGAGACAGAGACAGAGACAGAGAGACAGAGAGACAGAGAGACAGAGAGAGACAGAGACAGAGACAGAGAGAGACAGAGACAGAGAGACAGAGACAGAGAGACAGAGACAGAGACAGAGACAGAGACAGAGAGAGACAGAGACAGAGACAGAGACAGAGACAGAGAGACAGAGACAGAGACACAGAGACACAGAGACAGAGACAGAGACAGAGACAGAGACAGAGACAGAGACAGAGAGAGACAGAGAGACAGAGAACAGAGACAGACAGAGACAGAGAGACAGAGACAGAGACAGAGACAGAGAGACAGAGAGACAGAGAACAGAGAGACAGAGAGACAGAGAGACAGAGACGGAGACGGAGACGGAAACAGAGATAGAGACAGGCAGAGAGAGAGATAGAGATAAAGGCAGAGACAGAGACAGAGGATCAAAATCAAATCAGAATCAAATAATCTATTTAGCCAAAAACTACAAAATACAAAAGCATTATACAATATCATATAATATGGCCGAGCCCTCCAAGAGTTGGACTCCTTTAGGAAGGCCCCTGTTAAAACAATTATGGATTTTTAACAATTGAATACATAATACTAACAAAAAGATACAAACATACATAATAAGCTATTACATAAAACATATTTTCATATTTGAACCAAATATACATGTATTACTAGAACATCTAGCATTATTAGTTGTCATCTTCTATATAACTATCTACATTATTTTACAGAACCAACATAAAAGAACAGTTTATTCCTAAAGAAATTAGATAATAAATTAGACATATTACACAGTAATTATACATTTGACAGGTTAGAGAGCATAGTGGGACAATAAATAATGTTTCAGTGTGTTTTAGGAGAGCAATGTTGTGCATTCTCTGATTCTGTGTGGAAGATTATTCCACAGTAAAGGCCCTTGATACAAGATACTCATTTGTGACCATTGAGTTCTCATGAATGGTACAGTTAAAAGGTTATTAATTCTTGTATTATACCTTTCATTTGCTCTGGTATTGAACATAGAATTTCCAAAAGCATTTATACATTTATTAATATATAAGCCACAGTAAGTATCTACATCATTATATTTCAATAATTTTAGGTGCAAGAAGCCAGCATTTGTATGATCATATCTTTTCAAGATAGTTCTTATTACTAGCTTCTTAACTGTTATTATGGACTTTTAGAGTGTTTGCGTGACCTATGACCTACTTTTACTGGCGGCTGAGCAAATGGTAACTGCTTATTTCCATGGAAGATGACATTATGGGATTTTTCAAGATTTAGAGTCAATTTATTCAAACAAACCCAATTCTCAATACTTAGTAATTCAATATTAGTTAAATGTACTGACTCATGTAGTGAATTACCAGAGGTGTATAGACATATATCATCGGCATAAATAATAAAATTAAATTTACCAGCATTGATTATGTCATTGCTATACACATTGAAAAGAACTGGGCCCAAAATTGACCCTTGAGGAACAAGTACATAAAGAAGAATGGTTGCAAAATGATACATATCGAGTCCAGTTGCTTAAATAAGATGAAAACCCTTTATGAGCTGTGCCTCAAATTCCATAATGACATAATTTTTGTTGCAAGATGTTATGGGTAACAGTGTCAAATGCTTTAGATAAATAAAAAAAATACCCCTAGAGTGAATTTTCTCTCATCAAAGCCTTTGATAATATTTGTAAAGTAAACAATATTCAATTCTGTAGATTTATTTTTCCTGAAGCAATACTTGGAGTCAGTATTTATTCATATAAAAATGCATTTAATTGCTTAGTGATGATTTTCTCCAAAATTTTATTGAAACCATCAGGAACAAGAGATAACAAAAGTTGCTCTGTTGAAACTGCTCCCCTGCTTTAAATAGAGGATGAATTTTAGCTATCTTTAATCAAAGAAATCATCTAAAGGCTCAGGTAAGCTGTAGATATTGTGACTGAAAACTGAGAGGTGGGTGTCTGCATCATACTGGAATTCACTGGTAAGAGAAGGGACAGGAAAAGCATTGAGATAGCTAGGATTGGACTTTCCAAGAAAATTCTGCATGAAAGAATCTGGATCATGGTCAATTCGCTGTTTCTTGTCACCAGATGAAAAATTCTCAAATACTAAACCATCCAAGTTGTCTAAAGTTATGCAGAGGAATTTAATAGAAATTTGTAAACAGATTTAGGAAATCAACATCAATACAAGAGAAAATGGAAAAACAAATGGTAAAGCCATTTTGAGCTATAAAATATACAGTCTGCACCGTAAATAACACTGAAGGACACTCTTACACAGACAGAGAGACAGTGAGACAGACTGAAACAGAGAGACAGAGAGATAGACAGAGAGATACAGAAACAGAGAGACAGAGAGATAGAGAACAGAGAGATAGAGAAACAAAACAGAGAGACAGAGAGATAGAAACAGAAACAGAGAGACAGAGAGATAGAGAAACAGAAACAGAGAGACAGAGAGATAGAGAAACAGAAACAGAGAGACAGAGAGATAGAGAAACAGAAACAGAGATACAGAGAGAGAATAGATTCAGAGAGAGAGAGAGTATAGAAAGAGATATCAAGCTGAGACAGTAACTGAATGGCAAATACGAAATATGTCCTAATACTCACGAAAAACTGGCCAACCCCCGAGAACAAAGAGGATGGGGCAGCCTTCTCATCCTTGACATATCCTCCATCCTTGGCCAAATTATGGATTGTTAACATCCATTCATCTCGCTCTCGGTCATTGAGTGCCTGAAGGGTTACGGATCTGCAAGGTTAGAGAAATTATTATTTCTTTCTGTCATTTTTCTCGGTATAATAAAAATCTTATGCTTATCATGAGATCTTATACTTCACTTATATGGTAATGGAAAGAAAATGAGAGGAAAAATATAACAGAATTTCCTAGCTATCCTCTAAACAGAACTGCAAGAAAATAGAATTATTTTTTTTTTTTTTTTTTATCAATAAATGAAAAAAGGAGCAAAGATTAATAATAATAATAATAATAATAATAATAATAATAATAATAATAATAATAATAATAATAATAATAATAATAATAATAATAATAATAATAATAATAATAATGATGATGATGATGATAATGATGGTGATGATAATGATGATAATAATAATGATGATGATAATAATAATCATAATAACATTAATAACATTAACATTAATAACATTAATAATATCAATCAAACCCTATCACGTATCTTACACCTGAATACCTACTTTTTACTAGTAGCAACCTGGAAGACGTGTCGCCGATCATCCGTATCTGTAGCATGAACGAGGGTTGTCAAGTCCACCTCTAAGAGGAGTGATCCAGCTGCCTCGCCCTTCACAACACTCATCAGATTTCCTCCCTCCAGGAACACGAACTGTCTCTCCCAAGAGCTCATCACACCCATATACTTTCTGTAAGGACATTTGTTTCATTCTCATGATCGATAAGGTCTACAGCGTTAAGAATAATAGTATCTACCTATCTCATTTGCATATCTTCCTATGACTATTACTGGACATATGTATAAGAAAATTACCATTGAAATAAAGAAAAGAAATTTTGCACCCATTTCCAATCTTCAGGAAAATCATATTTCATTGAAACTTAAGATCTACATTTTTAAAAAAGTTAAAAAAACTAACTTCTGAACATTGAGATATCCTGCTTTATTAGTGAGGGTTGTATCGGGTGGCAATGAAGCGATGTCTGGAGGCGGTTCGGCATAGTACATCAGCTGTGACTGCGTAATGATGGAGTCTATCAGCTCCAGTGTGTCTTCTCTTTCCTTTGCTTGGTCTTCAACAACACTGAAATGATGATTATGACGACTTATATATTCACTATTGTAGTTAATAAAATAGTTTAAGGTATGTTACTAACATGAAATTTCATCACTGTGAGATTTCTTTTACATGATAATCTCTCCACAGAAGGAAGGATCGCATACACTGTGTATACAAAAAGAACGTACATTTGTATGCATTAAATTTATGTATCTTTGCATGACTGCATGCAAGTTTTCATCAAGAAATATAATACTAACTGAACACATGATACCTGAGGCTTTAATGTTGACAAAAACTCACAGAAATTTTATCTTAAACTCACTACTAATATCACAATATTTTCCTTAAAACCATGAATGCTGACCTTTTAACACAGACAGAAATGTTGGCTAAGAAGTCTTCCACTTCTGGGGTCACAAGAGCATCATGACCCATATTATAGTGTGCTCTTGTGGCTACTAAGAGTCCCAGCATAGGCTCAAGCAATGCT